TTCTCGTACGATTTAGTGATCACAACTCTTAGAGTGGATAGAAGGGTAACTTTTTTTCTCAAATGAATCGTTTCAAATGATTAATACTGAATTTACTTCTCCTTCATTTTTAAGCCTGAAAACATCTCATCAGACTTGATCCTGCAAAATCTTCAAGTTGAACGAAAGCTTTATAACAAAGAAAATGTATGTTTAGATCGAGTTAATTTTCAAGTTTTCAATTCTAATTCCTTTCTATTTAATAGGAATCTTCATTGGAATATAAATTAATAAAAACTCAAAAAAGCTTCTTTTATGGTTACACCGAATTGAATTATGAGCCTGAACATCTAGTTTATGCTCTCAATAAAAAGTGTTTTCAAGATGCAAAAATGGATGTTTTAACACTTCGAGTAACACCTTCAAGTACGTAGATTTATTAACACGTTGATTAACATCTTCAAGCGTGTTTAACTGAGATTTTCAATTTGTTCTAATTTTCGTTTTTATTTCTGTTTTTTTCGATAATCTCTTCACGCCAGAAAAATTGTCTTCAATCGAAACATATTCAATGGTCAATAGAGTCAAGTTGCGTGAAAATCTCGAAAAGTTAATATGTTTCAAGCTTGGAATATCTTATCTGAGGATAAAATCGGTTAGATTTCAGATTCACAGCACTTATCTGCTAGCCACAGTCGAAATTACCGAAAGATTCGATTTCGTTGGTGAGTTTATCGATGACCCTATTGTCAATTTCATTCCGATTAATCATTTTATTTGTCTTTTCATGTTGAGATTTACCAAGAAAAAGTCATCGCAAGCTGGATGTATCTGGATTTCTGACAGATTTTTACTCGGATATTGTAACATGCTTGAGACTTGAAGCCATGAAAAGAAATGTCAGGTAAGATTGTCTTGTTTTTGCTCATTTATTCTCTAATTCATTTCTCCCTTTCATTCTAAATTGATTTTATTGATTTTAGTAAAATTATCAGCTGTAATGACATTAGCCATGGATGCATTGGAATAGCTCTTGACCAACCTTTGCCTGTGGCAAATGAAAATGGCTCAAATTGTGTTTTATACAACAATTTGGATAAAGTATTGTATAAACTTGTTCAAGAGCCAACATTAAGAGATCTGAAAATGTCATACAAACATCTGAATCAAACAACGCTTTCCAGTGCTGAACTAAACTTTGACCTATATCTAATTGACTCATCGCAAAACGATAGCCATTCACCAATTGATTCTGATTCGTTCAATGTGAAAGTTTATTGTAGAAATTGTTTTGGCAACTATATATTTCTTTTACTGATTGTCGCCCTCGTTTGCGCCGTCATTGGCTTAGCTGCAATTGCGTGCAAATTATATCGACGAAACGTTCGAATCAGCTCATCTCCGTCAATTTCACTGACAGTTTTGAAAGATTCATAAGATTATAACATTATCAGTGTAAATTGGCAACCTTGAAATACTTACTTAAATTGTAAACTTACTTTGTGGTTAAAATGGCGAATTTTTGTATTGAACAATTTCAAATTATTGTATAATTTCAATTTATAAACGGTCGTGGAGACCGCATCCGCCCTGCACTGCGAGTGTAACTTCTCGGATTCACTCTTCACACTCTTGTGCGAGATGATTAGCTGCATCCTTATTCCTGTAACAAGGTGAAATGAAATAAATAAAGTCAAGAATAACCCTACTGTATTGAACCCTACCCAACTCTCAACAATTGTTTGTATTGATCACGACAATCTGAATAAGCATGAAAATAACATTGTAGTTACTAATCAAACGGTCAATAATGGAAGCAAAAGTTTTCAACATCAGCTGTAATGCTATTTTCATTAAAATAAAATCAGTTGGAATAGTGTCATGCAGTGACTGAAACGCTGCTCAAAATTCATTTATAATACTTGTATAAATACAGATGTTAATATGGAAAAAATGAACGAAAGAAACAGCAATTAAATAACTCTTATGAAAGTTATTTGGATAAGTATGGCTACCTTACCCTCGAGATCTTATTGCTTACAAGTTAGACTTTTAGACTTGTTAGACTTTTCATGGGATCCCTAGCAATCTTACATCATGTCAGCGTTCAACTAATAAGTATTTTAAACCTTATTTTAATTTAATGAAGAGGGCGCAGAGGTAGTATAACGAATCATGGGAATTGAAGGCGTTCTAAAGGAAAGTTACATGTTAATTCTGACGAGTTAATGAGCAATGGCTTCATTAGATTTTATGTTTTTAGATCATAAACAATAACATTGATCGATTGTGATATCCCTTATAGTATTCTATGTTAAACTTTTACCTGCAAAAATGTTCCCAAGTAAATATTTTTTATCGATATTTATGATTTTATATAATTTAAAAACAGGCTATCAACAAGGTTACAAGGAACTATCTGGACTAGGGCCAAATTTTTTATTGAAAGCTAAGTTAAGTTATAAGGTAAGCTTTACTCACTTGTTAAACTGACTTTAATTTCTTACAAATTGATTATTTTAAGGGTATACATCAGAATGTAGATCAACTAAAGCCATGGTATTGGCTTTATAAGAGTTGGTTGATAGAAGAGTCAGTATTTGGCGATGAAAAAAACATGATCGTAACATTAATAGCCGATGAAAAGGAAGGAACTCAAATAAAAGTGTTTCGTGATTTTAAAACTCAAAACATTACATTGGTCTGTGTTCGTAAGTAAGCAAAAAATTTATCGTATTAAGTGAATAATTACTAGAATTGTTTGTATTATAATGTAATATAATGAAACTTCAATCCTTGTAAACTAATTGACCAGAAAATTTATGTCGACGAAATGCTGATTTGTTGGATAAAATTTTAAAGGAATTTACTGGATCTACAGCTCAGAGTGTGAAAGCCACACTGTTGTTGGGACCTTATCGTATGATATCATGTGAAACTAGTGAAAATGCGGTACATACTGGAAATTTGACAACTTATCGTTGTGGTACTTTGTATTTGGAGGCATCTTTTAAAGGTTTGTTTGCAAAGATGAATCGAGTGTAATAATGCATTACATAAATAATTTTCAGATCGGACTAAAGAGTTTATTATACGGGATAGTAACATTCGAACGCTGGTGTTGAACGTGACACAAATCGAGTCTTTAGTACAAGTCAACGTATCAAAGTCAACAAAAGTTATTCAGTACAAATTGAATGAATCAATCATTGAATACAAAAAATCAGGAATCGATAAAAAACATGGAACAACTCAGGTGAGTGTTTTTTTGTGTCGACGTAATAGTCATGACAAATATTACGAACGATCATGGCTGATCTTAAATTTCTTCCCACTGAATTAAATAAATTCAATCCATATTTAATGAACTCTAATGTTTTTACTTTCGGGCTGTCAATAGCTTTATTTCACATCATTGGACTCAGTTACCTTGGTCGAGATCAATTACAAACGATTCCATGTCGAAATGGTTTACGACCGTAAATTTGGTTTGAAATACATTCCATCTGGTCACGATGAATGCATAATTGTATCAAGCAGCTTTGATGATGAATTCAATTACGTAGCTTCAGAAGACTATGTAACGGAGTTTATAAATGAACTTTATTTTCCTAAGAATCCGGTGAGTTCAAAAAAGCAACATTCAATCCACAAAGGCATAAACTTTTTTTTATAAACATTAACTAGGTTGAACCATACAGCAAGAAACTGAGGGTTGTAGCAAAGCACAATGTAACAATTGGTAATGTAAAGTATGATTCGGTTGTGAAAACCTATCTAGCACCAGATAATGCCGTAAGTTTCATTTCATACAGAATAAAAAAGATTTCTGCGTTTTTGTAATATTAATAATAAAAAATACTCTGAATCCAAGTCAAGATGGATAGTGGAAAGTGGAAGGCTCGAAGATTTCTGTGTTCAAATGGACCTTTATTCGAATTCTGTTTCAAATGAGGTACGATAAGATTTAAACTGGAATGAAACGCAAAATGAAATAATCTCCTTTTCCTTATTAGGTACCATTCGATTACGAACTCACTGAAAGAAAGGTAATATGCTTGCTTGAAATTTCGCACCACTTAGACAGAGACAAGTTTCACCGCATGATTGATTCATATAATCAATGCTTCAAAGACAGAAAAGACAAAGTTATTCTCCGTTTAAAAATTTCATTATCAAGTAAATACGTCATATTTAATCATTATTTTCTAGTCAGTAATGAGAAAATATTTTTCATTGCAATGAACAGATCATTTGCTAGCAGACAAAATTAACGAATTGCAAGCCGAAATCTATCGTATCAAAGATGTTCTTCGAGGTTTGCTCATTGATAAATTGAATATATCTTATTTGAGAATAAACTGGATCAAATTTAGCTATGAAAACTCACAAATCATGGCGAAGGTTGAAATATTAGACTCATCTGTTATCATCTTTGGTAAGTTTCTTGCAATTATTAATAACTCATTACTTCGATCTATTAATGAAACGTTTTTCGCTTAGAAACAAAGAAAGGAGTTTCGCATAAATTCAACGTCAAATCAACTGGCTCTGGTCAAACTCATACATCAACCATTGATGAATGTATACATGTACAAGCTTCTAAAGTCAATCTAAGGTCAGTAAATTTTTTGAAAATAAGTCTCTTGATATCATCAAAATTTGTTATCTTTCAGTTATGTTATAACTTGTAAGACTGGAGATTATTTATGCCTTGGAATTGCTCATGGAGACTCATTGCCTGATGAAAATGAAAATGGATTAAACTGTATGTTGTACAACAATTCAGATCTTAGTTCGACTAAACTATTGGCAGGAGTTCCTTTGGAAGTGATTAAAAAATCTTATTTCAATTTGAATGGAAGTCAATTCAACTATTCTGATATTGAATTTGCTGTTGTTGATGTTACGATTGGAGATGGTATACGCCTTGATAGTCCAGAAAAGGCGAAATCAAGCTCAAATTTCACACTTTTATTAGTATTTTCTATATCGATCAATATTGTGATATTTGTCAAGTTTGCATTTAGCTATAAACTGTATCAATTCCGAACTCATTCTCTTCGTGATTATGTTTCGCTTAAATTATTCAAATCAAGCATCTGATTTTTAAAAATATTGCAAGAACCATAAAATTCATGCACAAAAATGTTTCCAATCTGTTAACTCAAATTTTCGCTCTAATAAAAGGATATTTTTGAAAAAATTGTTCAAATTATTCAATTCAATCAAAATACTTTGCAGCGATCAGTCACTGGCAGTCACATCTTTGTGTCATCCAAATGCCTCAATTCAAGCTTTAATAATTCAACCATTCAACTTGAAATGATTGATGTTAATTCACAGAGACCCAGCTATGGTTACTCGCAATAAATTTTCGAGAATAATCGAGTTGGTTACATTGTGAAATCATTTTATCATCAGTCTGTTATTTAATATGCTTAATTACAAAATACAACATTAAATCACATTGTGCACATTGATAAATAATTGATCATTAAAATTTAAAGATAAACAGGAAAATTGATCGATCAAGCCCTTTGTTGAGTCCATTTGTTTATTCAGAAATCTGATAATAGTTATGTCTTAAGATGAACAACGGAAAGGGCGTTTTGTGTTTGGATCATGAAAGATCATTTGAGCTAATTTGTTTTCTTTAAGTTAAGTTGATATCATTCCAAAGATTCACATTACAACAACTGTTTGTTGGTTGAAAGTTTTACAAAATGAATCTCATCATAATTTCACTTGTAATAATCACTTTACTGTTTCAAATCAATCAAGGTAAGTCTCCATACCAACCCAAATGATTTACCAGTTTAATGAATAATTTCTCTATCAGCCACTAAAATCGAATTAAGTTCTTACGATTTGTTGATTAAAGCCAATATAACTAATGAGGTAAAGAAACAAATGTCTTTTTACTCAACAATATTAAATGATTTTTTTTATTTTTAGGAATCAAACAATACTTGGTATTTGGCTGAAACAGTTTATTTCAAGCCCTTTATTCATGGAGTAATCAAGATACAGAAAGGTGACATCGAGATGCAAGTTCATTATAATCTCAACACTTCAAAAAGAATCGTTTTCTTTGGTAAGTTTGACTAAAGCTGCAAACATGTTCATGCATACAGCATCGAAAGTGAAATAAAAAGCTGTGGTTACGTTTATCTTTTTGCA